AAATTCAGGGCAACAGGCAGCCTCAGAAACAGACAGCCCGAACAATCCTGCCTCCATCATCGAAAGGAAGAACCTCATTCGATCTCCCAAACTCTGTCCTCGTAAAACGTCCAGAGAACCTCATCTCAGCAGAGGGCGGGCACCATCATCACCCCGAAATTCCTTGCCCCCACAAGAGTTCCAGTCTCCGTTCTCGAGGGGATAAAACAACACTACCCAACGCCAATCGTGCCAAGGCTCACCCTCATCAGCCGGTACCCATTGGATAGCCTAAACTACCCAACGCCAATCACATCTGATAAGAGCTCCCCCTGACCGGTACCCGTTAGAAAGCCCTATTCCATCCCCTCTCCATCCTTGCGAAGAATCATTTGATGCCCTTTGCCCCTCCTTCAAAACAAAATCCCCCAAGACTCTACAAGATGCTCCACTTGACCATCCCATGGGGCCCCTGTTCAAATTTCCGACAAAACTCTGAGGAAAAGAAGTAGGTCAAATTCTGATCAAAATTTAAAAAACAAAAAAATCCCGCCACAAAGACCCTAGAAAATCAACAACGAATTGAATCCAACTTAGGAGGAAATTCCTTGAAAAATGAATCAACAATGATAGTCGTAAAAGGACTTTAGATTATGGAAGAAACAATCATTAGAAAAAACCATTGGAAAAATGGATGCATGAAGATCCCGGCGAATTTTGGATTGGAATTTCAGAAGCTATGTTTAGTAAAAAACATTCAGAATTGTGAATCTATCAGAATCGCAGTCTGATTCGCGACTTTCAAATTGGCAAATGCATTAGACTCCTAGGATTAGAATATTGCAAAGATTTATTTCAGAATTATTCCAGGACGTAGAGAGAGAAAAATACCTATGTAGAGGAATTACAACTTGAAATCTCCATCAGAACCTTCACAATTGACAATAAGACGTGAGAAAACACTCAAGAACAATCAAGAATCCTAAATCGAGATCATCAATGAGAAACCAAATTAGGAGATCAAGGGATTTTGGACAGTTATTAGCTAGGAGATCAAGACATTTTGGACAGTTATTAGCAATCATTAGAGCATGGGCTAACCAATCGCCACCTGAGCAGATCAGCGAGTAACCTCCATCTCCCCTTCCTCGATAGCACCTCCTTACCTCCTTCCCCTCAAACCCTACCCCAGCTTCTTCGGGGAAGGAAGAACCCTTCCTCCCACTGCTAGCTACTAAGGCTCTGGGCACTGCTAACACCGAAAACCATCGACGGCCATCTTCGATCCCTGAAAAGAATCAAAAAACGGTGTGGCACCTCCTCACCAAACCTGTTGGCGAGTCACCACAGGGGGTTCGAAACCTCCAGAAAAAAACACACTAATTCGTACTTACCCTGCTGTCGAAGAAGGGGGGAGACTCTTCCTACCACCGCTGATTGTTCCTCGTATCGTGATCATCGCTGCTGCCGGATTGGTCATAACCTGCTGATGAAAATACACGTGGCCCCACAGAAGTCACCCAAGGCTCCGCTGTCCATTCACCATGCTTCTCCCAGCTGCACTACCTCGGCATATCCTGCGTCCTGACCCTGATTACGAGACAGAAGTCCCGTCAACCAAGGTTTACTCCTCGCGCCATCCGAATCATCAGCTCCCGCCTTGCACCGCAGCGTTCGTCGCTCCCGCAGGCCGAAATCCGAGTACGGGTGGCGCAGCGCTCCCGGTCGCGCTGTGCTGCCCCCGTTTTGGCTCTCATTTCGTTCTTCCTTTGTTTCCACGAGCCAAGTCTCTTAACCACTGCACCGGTTTAAAAAAAAAAAAGAAAAAAAAGTGTGCTGAGTTGCAGGTGATTGAGCCCACACGTGTCTCAAGCAGTGACCGTGAGTAGGAGGGGGGCTATGAGCTGTCTCTTATACACATCTAGATGTGTATAAGAGACAGGTGCTGCCCCCGTTTTGGCTCTCATTTCGTTCTTCCTTTGTTTCCACGAGCCAAGTCTCTTAACCACTGCACCGGTTTAAAAAAAAAAAAGAAAAAAAAGTGTGCTGAGTTGCAGGTGATTGAGCCCACACGTGTCTCAAGCAGTGACCGTGAGTAGGAGGGGGGCTATGAGAGTTCAAGGGAATCAACTTTTGGACCTTCGGCGCAACTCACACCCTCTCACTAAGGGGAAAGAAATTAAAAAAAAAAAAAAAAAACCGCAAAATGTGCACATCATAACTTACACTAACCCACAATTTCCCTGTCCCATGAGATCACACTCTGGGACTCCCAAGACCCCATTAAACCACCACTCTATGGGACAGGACGAAATTGCGCCTACCGGTAGGCCGAAGTGGCGAAACCGCGTCCGGACTACCGGTAGGCGAGCGTACTACTGGGTTACCCTTTTCGTCAGTCCTGTCCGCGGGCCCAGCAATTGCAAGTGTATGTTTTGTTTTGTTTTGTTTTGAATGGGGAAAAAAAAACAAAAAAAAAAACAAAAAAAATTACAAATGTCTTTTCAGATGGATCCCTGCCAGGGGCCGCGGTTGTTGCCGCGCCGTGTGCACAGAATTGCAGTTACGGCCGGATCCCCTTCGTAGGGCCTGTTGGGATGAGTGTGCGAATCTGGACGCTGGGCCCGCTAGAGATTCAGGAAAGCATATTTGTACACTTTTTTCTGCACCTCGCCTACAAAACGTCCACGTTCACCATCGTTTGGCACATTTCCAGAGCACTGCAGCCCTTGCCGGTGTATCTTCCCGATACCAGGGGAAGATTCACTCTCGTGTTTGGCACATTTCCAGAGCACTGCAGCCCTTGCCGGTGTATCTTCCCGATACCAGGGGAAGATTCACTCTCGTTTTGCACATTTCGAGAGGCCCCAAGGCAGTACGGCCACGCTGGCGAAGATGTTTGTTTCTGCCCTCAGCCGTTGTTTTTTTTTCGGCCTCACCTTCTATGCATGTGGACGTGGAAACGTGTGGCAGGACTGCAAAAAAAAAAAACAAGGCCCATGCACGACTTAACTACAGGACAGTTGCAGTTTGGACCGGCCGTGCAACACTACGTGCCCAGATTGGACACGGAGGACACAAGCATCAGTCAGTCGATAGCATAGATTGGGGATAGGGTAGATAAGTTACAAAGGAATGGGAGGAATCGGGCGTAGAGAGGGGAGGGTAGATGGTAGGGGGTAGTGGGGAATGGGAGGGCAAGTTAACATTGGAAAATGGAAAAAAGGGGGGATGACAGAGGAAGGGACATGGGATATATTTTGAGTGTTGAATATGCTGTTGAATATACTGCTGGGGATAAGCTTCAAGTAGTTTCAACTACACTAGAATAGGGATGGTCTACCTGGTCTCAGGCATTAGCGACGGTTTTTAGTYTAACTCAGAATAAGGGGCCTATTTTGGCCATAGGGGYTCAGCAAGGATTCTCCATGATGAGACAAGAGAAACCTACTGCCCTCAGAAGAGGGCGGGCAAATAAGGCAAGAGTGAGGTTGGAAACATATCAGCCGGATAGACATAAAACATAAAACATAAAGTTGATAGGGTTTAGACGTAGACGATACTTGAGAATATCAGAGATACTTGGGGCAGGTTGTATAAAGGACTGCGWAGTGGAGATTTGAGGGTGGTATGAGGATGTAAATATTAGATGGTGSCCAGAGRCTCTTAATAGGGACACTGAGGAAGGGTTTAACATGATGAGAGGCTCGTGAGATTGCTAGAACAGCCCCCCCGACCTRGGCCTCTCCTGGGGACCCGTCTGTTGTGTGACTGGGTGCTGCTAGGAAGCTTCCCGACCAACAGAGGTGTCCCTGGGACGGCTATGGTATGGGAAGTGGGCTTTGGTTGTAGCAATCTCCCCCTTGAGAGGCGTCTAGGGCCGCAAGGGTAAGGCTTTCCTCTTCTCTTTTCAATCAAACTGTATTTTGTTTTTCCAGGCTTGCCGGTGATGAGCAACCGGACTGATGCCCCCCAGAATAGAAGGGGCTGGGTATTATGGGTAAAAATATATATATATATCGTCAAATAGAACTGCGCGGTAAACCGTAGGCAGAGAGGGAGAAGAGGACAACAAACGAGGGGCTGTGACAAACTGTTTCGTCGGAGTTTCACCGACTCATCAGGAGGCTGAACCCTCAACAGTCTGTAGAATCCCCTCACTGATTACACTGTAAGTGATAATCCACCTTAACCAAAATCAAAGTAGACTATCACTCACCCACACCAGATGGAAAACTCTACAGACTGTCGGTTCACACCCCATCACAAGCCAGCAAAACACCCACGAAACAAAGAAAGGTCTGTCACAGCCAAAAAATACACTCCAGACACGCCGCTGGCACTAGAGGCACAGCATGGCCGCGTAGTGACGGCCCCGACCACTGCCGCTCGACCTGACCGGAGAAAACCGTAGCAGGAAGCTAGCGAAGTCGTAGTATATATATATATGAGAATATAAAAGAAAAAAAAAAATTCGAATGTGTTCGGTTTTTATTTTTTGTAGACTTCGAAAGTGTTCTGGAAAGCGGCGGCCGCCACTGTTCCCGCCTTCGACAGCAGGGAAAATCACATGCGGCCCGAAGGTGTCACTGCTTCCGACTTTCCCAGGGAACTGGGCCTGCTGTTCGCCCACCAGTCGCTGCCCTCCCTAAATAATCGCCCGGACTCACAGGAGGGGCTATTTCCTCCTGTCCCATAGAGTGGTGGTTTAAAAGATGGGAACCGGCCTTTTCAATAGAAATAGTCTGAAATACAAATTGAGGAATTAGTTTTTCTTAATAATATTGTATTTTTTATAAGTTAATAATATTTTTATTATTTAATAAACATTATATAATTCAGATTCTTAAGTACATTCCACGCTCGACCACACCACAAAACGATTCACAGAGCTTTGGGAAGAGCTTCTTTTTCCTCTTCTTTTAAGTTTTTTTCTTTTCTTTCTTTTTTCTTTTATTTTAAACCAGAATGAATTCAGTGGAGACAAGCAGCGTATGACAGACGCAAAGGTGTGCGCTCACCTTCATCGCATCATATTTGCATAAGAAGTACGCTCCATCGAGGCGAGTGCTTTTCGCAAATCTGTACAAGACAATAACTCCCAAATTAATAATTATTAATTATCTTCACATTCATCGTTGACAACTTCACCAGCTTTTCCCCTTCTGCTATGGTCTCTGCTCGTTTGCTTCTCCTTCTCCCCTTGAAAATTTTTTGGCCTGTTTTTTTTTTTTTTTGAAAGCAAAGGCCCCATCTATTCTGGGGGGCAGACATCCGGTTGCCTATCACCGGCTAGCATAGACTTAGGTTTGATAGTAAAAAAAAGTGGGAGAAAAAGACGACCAGCATATCACAGCCATATCCCTCGCAGAGTGAGACAGTTATACTTTTCTTTTCTTTCACCTTCTTCCTTGTACAACTTTTCCTCCTTTGTTCAACCAAAGTCGGTGATACATACAGTGTGTAGGATTCAGATGCAACAGGGATCACCGCACCACTCGCCAAACACCAACACTTTAACAGGACGAGCCACAGGTCCAGACTCCAGGAACATTAAAAATGTTGGGGTTTGGCGAGTGGTGAGGCGGGCGCCAAAGCGCGTGTGCTATCTTCGCTCAAGAGAAGGCGCACACAGATTACTCTTCCTCGTCCTCCCTACAAATGAAGAGAAATTTCCTCACTTTGCCTTTGCTATCTTCTGACAAAGTTGAGCGAAGATAGCACAGTCGATGAACCGCCAAAGCGCCTGTGCTATCTTCGGACAATCTGTTCATGCTGCTTTCAAATCAAAGGGTGAAAACCGGCCACAAGACAGGACAGGAGGGAGAATAGGAATCAAAAAGAAGTAGCAAAATGCAGAGGACAACGGGGAGGAGGAGGATAAGCAGCAGCAACAGGAGGAGGCGGAGAGGCGGAGGAGTCTGGCCCATAGCCAGATCCGTACCGTGAATATGGACCTCATACCCAAAACGACTTCATGCACATCACATAAGTTGTTTTCGATCAGGAAAGCCCAGCCGTTAGGCCATTGCTCACACTACGACTTTTTCGACTCAGCTCTGGACGAGATTGCAGTCGGGTGCATCCAGGTCCGTCCATAATTGCAGTCCGATACACTGACAAAAGTGCTAGTGTGCGTACGCCCATAGTGCCGCAAAATGTGAAGAACCGCTGTCCGGCTCATGGGTACACCCGACTGAGAACAACCATTGTGCGTCACACTGGAGCACCGTGCTGAGACCCTACCACTGTCCGCTCATGTGCCGCCTATGGATGGAGTCCCCTATTGAGACCCTACTGGGCTGTAAGTGGTGGTAGGACCCTTGCTTGGATGTCACTGTGCATTGTACCCATCCGCCTGAATAGCCCGCCTGAGAAGAGTTACAATGCCATTTGTTTGGGCTTGAAAGGTCTGTGTGTCATTCATGAACGGCGTCTTATTCCGTGCCTTCCAAGTCACTTCCATGATTGTACCCCTGCAGACCAGGGGTACGTAGCCCCAGCCTTTGGCCCGGCAGGCATAGCCGGTGCCTTTTTCCACGCTTCACAGTGGGATAGAACCTTGTCCAGGTTCATGAGCTTAAAGCGCCAGTACATGGCCCCAGCCAAGTTGAGAGTCCGATTGAGCCTCTACTAAAATTTCAGAGGTTCGCACGCCATCGAAAGAAAAAAAAAAATGATGGTGGGCGGCCTCCGAAAAGGGCCCGCGGCCAATGGCTGGCATATATTGGTGGTTTAAGCGACACTAAACAGTTAATTGATAAGCCATGATTTAGAGACAGCCATAGCAGCACTGGGACCAAGATTTGGGACATTTTGCCACTTACCATCTTCACCCGAATAGAATATACGGTCATTATCGCTGTATCTAGACTGAAAGTTGCCCTACGTACAGCTGTAATAATCGCCGTTCTATTCGGGGAAAGACGTAGTGAGATCAGCGACGGCCAAGACTACAGTTCATGGTAATGTCATCTGTCTGCAATTCACTGAAAGCGAAGATAGCCCTGATGCAACTCGTCGAATGAAATTTGTGAAATCATGAACACAGAAAGGCATGGGTAGGTCCTCAAATGGGCTACAGGACGGCTGCAAAGAATGAGCCCTTGCGTGGCCCTTATCAGACATGCACATGTTCTGGGCTGAGGCCCTCAGCAAGCCCAGTGCCCGCCCTTCGTGAAGGCGGGCCTGAATATTCACGAGAAGCCAAAATATGACGTTTTTTCATATGTGGGTACTCAGGCAGTGGCAGCACGCCAGTTGGTTGAGAGGAAGCGTGAGCCTCCCTGTGCTCCGCCGTACAGTTGAGCCCAGGCCGTGGTAGTTGCGCCTGGGCACACATGCACACAATGCTAGGCAGAGACATCACAAATTGGCTATTGGCCTACAGAAAAGCAGCATTGTCGACGTATATACCCCGGGTCCTGTGCAAATGCAGCAAACGTCCCAAGTCTGAAAATACTGGCCGTGCCCAACTGTAAAGGGCCCAGGCCCTCAACTGCGCAGCTGGGGCCTGACCGGAGGCTACTGGAAGATTCCCAGCCAGGCCGCACGCAGCCAAACAGAGGCTTCCACTTCCATATAGGGAAGGAGGCAGCCAGGGCCAGGGATTCTGGCACACGCAGGCATTGTGGTCACAATGCTGTGTTGCTGTGCGAGAGGCTGCGTGCTGCGTTAGCGGCCAGCGCGCGTCCGGGCGCGTGTGAGGTGAGAGGGGCGCTGCTGGGCAGCGGAGCGCAAGCAGCCATAGCCGGGCTGCAGGGCGCTACTGTTTTCACCCGAATACAACGTACGGTCATTATTGCTGCATCTAGAAGTTGCATCAAATACAGCTATAATCACCGTACGTTCTATTCGGGTGAAGACGGTAGGGGGTTAAGGGCGATCGGTGGTCTTGAGGAAGGAGGCGAGTGTGGGTGGTCAGGGTCTGATGAGGGGAGACGAGATACGTACCTTGTGCATGAGGGAGGTCGGCTATGGTGTTGACAACATGTACATTGGTCTTCAAAGTCAAAGTCAGCCTGTTGCCCGAATGCGGATGTAGTAGGATAGGCAAGTAGTGTAGGCTGGGCGCTGGGCGCCAGACAGAGAGGGCTTGAACATTGGCTCATGAGTTCATTGTATTGCTCTTATTTGGATGGAATCTCGGTGCATTTGTGGTCCCTGCTTGTACGCGACTACTTGGACATCTGTATGATTTCGCAAATTGGCTTTCTGTATATCGTTCTCACTCATATTCCTTGCACGGCTGTCAAAATAAAAAGAAAAGAAAAAGGAAAGAACTCGAAAGAGGGTAAAAACCCTTTTAAATTTTTGAGAAAGGCAAAAAAAAAAAAAAACAGCATCAGTAGGCTTGGAAGTTCAAACCGACTTGCCGACCAACAACCATATTCACCCAGATAGAACGCCGGGTCATTATAGCTGTATCTGGAACAACTACAGTCTAGATGCAGCAATAAAGTCAGGGCTTCCTGTAAATCGATGTGTTTGTTTTGCACCTGTAAAATAACTACCACTTTTTCGTACTTGTCTATTGCTTGTGTTTTACGAGTAATTTGACCTACTCTCGACATGTCAACGTGTTCTGCATGTGACGTGCGAATACCTTGTGACAACATACTACTACTCTTAGGGTTATTCCCCCCTGGTCTGCTTTACGCTGGGACGGACAGATCCATTCTCCATGGACGTCCAAACCTGGATGTGAAGCAGGGCATTCCGGACAGCTGGGAGAGTCCCGTACATCTGGGTGTGAAGCAAATAGGCACATCGAGCATGTGTCCGGCAATAGGGTAACAAAATAATAACAAAGCAGTAACAGCTACAAAAAAGATGAAAAGGGAAAATTTGTTTCTTGAGATGCCCTAGTAGGTGTAACTACCTTCTTCCTCCGAATGTAACATGCCCTAGTTATGAATGCTTACAAGCCACCTTTCCGGTTCCATACAGTCAAAATGAGGGCGCTTTATATTCGATGGAAGACAGTAGTCAGGGTTCAAACGCTGCCTTGCTGAGCTGCAGCGACCCATTTAAAGGAGGCACTCATTTTGCAATGAAAAACAGTGGATAAAACATGGCTGCTTGGCTGCTTGGCTCGCTTGACAATGCAGTGGCTGCTTGGCTCGCTTGACAGTGCAGCCCAGGCAAGTGGCCCGGGGGTTCGCCTACATGGCGCACCCGTCCAGGGAAAATCAGCCTTCTTTCGTTTGTCTTTCTTTGGGGCGGGGTGTGGTGTTTTCCCGTGCATGCCCAGACGAGCCCAAATCCGGGCTCCTTTCCTTCTTTGGGTGTTGACTGTCAAGGGGGGGGGAAGGGGGGGTAGAAATTGGTTTTTAAGGGGCTAATGGGGTTTCAAGGGGGGCGCATTCGTCTGATGCTGTTGCTTTTTGTCGTATCTGCGATTCCGAGAGGAATCTGATGTTACCCTCAGCCAAAAGTCGTTTGTATTGCATATCTACTATCTACATAACAATTCACCCCCCTTTTTTATCTTTCTTTTTTTTTTTTTTTTTTTTTTTTTCGTGCTGGGTATGCCTGGAACCCTGCACGGGGTTCACGCCCGGCCGCGCACCCAGGCATGTATTCGGGCACAACTTGGTGCCCGGGCACCTGGCCAAACAGACTAGGGGTACAACCGTACAACCATATAACATTCACACAGCGTACAGCTCATAGTTTCCGAGGTTTTGTTTTATTTTAGCAGGCGCTTTCTAGCTGCAAATTCTTGTTTGCATTTCATATCAATCTTCGAAGCGCAGCAACACATGCTCGACACGAAGTGCGACACATGCTCGATGTGCCTAGCACAGGGCTATAGCTGAGAAGAGACTGTCAATACAGGAGGTAGGAACTGAGAAAGGAGGGAGAAATACAGACACCAACAAGGGCAAAGGGACTTAGAGATCAATCACCTGTCCAGAAGGGTGGAGAAATTGACGTCAGGAAGCCGCGCCGCAAACAGTTCTACCTGCATCATGAAGAGCAAACACACACACACCCGCATGACCAAACAAGACAACAGCACCCAGATTATGACTGAATTGTGCATGCCTCGAACTCATAATACACAGGTTAACAGTTCGGCTCCTGCCAAGTTCTACAAGATTGCCTTAAGAAAAGAAAAAAAAAACACCTGTGCTGACACAGAAATGAATGCAGGCAAACCACTCATACATGGCTGGAGAGAGAGGCTCACCGGTATATAGCTGCGTGTAGCCACCAGTTATGGACAGACAGCATTCAGTTCCAGCTCATGCTGATGGACAGCAGCACTGGCTTCGAGCCAGGATTACTGCACTTGAGGTTAGCATTTGAGTTCGGGGAGCTAAGAGGAGATGCTGGGCGAGAGTAAGGTCCGCAGCATAATTGGGCAGAGGAGCACTTAACATGGGCGCCATAGGTGGGAGACTGCACTGCCACTGGCTGCGCATGACTGCAATCTGCTGCAGTTCACCAGTTATTATCAGAGAGGTGTAATCACCCGCCACAACACAGATTCAGAACACTGCTGATTTCTGGGTTTTGCCGTTTATGCCTTCCTGAGATCCCCGCGTTGTGCCGAGTTTTCTAAGACTGTGTGTGTGTGCGTGCTTGCTGATCCGTGTGCCAGTCTGAGTGCACGTCTGCCTGAGCATGTGTCTGGCCCGACAGGGCCACATGTGTTGTGAGGCCCGCTGGGCCGGTACTTTGGCCGTGACTTTGAGGGTTGCAGCGGGGAAAACACTCGAGCACCGGGCATTAGGCGCGCAACACTTAGGGCAGCGGGGGGAAAACACTCAAGTAGCAGGTAGGCCAGTACCACTCAAGTAGCGGTAGATGTGTCTGGAACTGAAGGCAGAGCAGAAGACGACAAAAAGTTGGCATTTTTAGAGGCCCAGTAGCAGTAGGCTAGAGGTAGGCATGTACCAGTTCAAGTAGCCTGAGTCTAACGCTTGTGCGGATGATATCAGAGAGTGCAATGATGTTTCCCTTTGAAACGGAGGTGATACCGTTTGCTTGGAGGCCGCGCGGTCTGGAACTCACCTCCCAAGAGGCAAGCGGACCACTATATCTCCGGGTAGAGCGCTGAGCTCTACCTCATTTGCGGTATACAACTTGGGTGTCATGCCACTTGAGCGGGTGCTGGTTCTCAGAGTGCTGCCTGGGAGGGAGGAAGGGAGCTGGGCGCTCTGCCTGCCTATGGCGAGCAGCCCAGCTTGAGGAGGAAGAAGGGGGCATAGGAGGAGAGTGGTGAGGTACCTACCTGGCTACGGTGGACACCATCAACATCACCTTGTTAGGCGCTGCATCTGGAAGGCCCCAGTGGGGGTAGTGCCGCACCAAGGAAGCTTCAAGGCAGAGCCAGGCGTGGCGGCCTGAAGAGCAGCGGCCATAAGCCCATAGCTGCTTTGTGTTGTCTTTGCGTTGTCTTTTGCACAGCAACGGACTTTTATGTTCTGGACTATTCCTCTACATTTTCTCTCTCATACGTCGTCCCCGTCTTCGCTCCTCACCACTTATGGCTATATCCCCATGTCTGTGGTCTGCAGGGAGGGGTTTTCAGCTAGGAATGGCTGCCCTCTTCGCTGGTTTCAGTCATTGTTGTGAGTGCATCGTCTATGCCCGAGTCATATGGGTCAAGGTCGATTGTTTTGAGACCTCCGCTGCATTCTTTCCATGTCTCTTTTCACTCTCGTGGTTCCTTCCTTCCTAGGATTGCCTGAGACTTCCGCTGCATTGTCTTCATGTCTCTCTTCACTCTCGTGATTCCTTCCTTCTGCGTATTGCCTATCTGTTGATAGGTATGCATCACCCACTGACTACTCATTCAGAACAAATTTACAAAACCAAAAACAATTTTAAAAAAGAGGATTTCTGGTCACACCTCTTCTCTTCATCTTTTCCAGAATAGTGAAAGGCATTTCACGATGCAGACCCCAAATTCGAATCTCAGGGTCGAAGCCCCCAAGCCAAAAGAGGCTAGGTCGGCCAGATTCAGGAAGGTTACGGTTGGGTACCCCAGAGGTCACGTCCAACAGGTACCCAGTCAACAATCACATCCCATAGGCAAAAGTCACGTCTCACAATCAAAGGTCATATCCCACAGGCAAGGGACACGACCCAGGATCAAAGGTCACGTCCCGCAGGCCCAAAACCAGCAGCACACCAAGAAAAATGCAGGGAGGTACCGGGCCTCAACATTCTGAAGCAAACAGGCCGCTGGCAGCCAGTACCGGGTCCAAGTCAAGCCAAGAGAAACAGAGGCTGGGACGAGTAAGGGTTCAGTCCAAGCCAATATAAGGACTGACCAGCCTCATTTCGAACAGATTGCTCATTCGCAAGAAGTGTGGAAGTGTTGCTGGGCGATTGCGCGCTATCTGCACGTAGCATGCGCTGGAGCCCTGGCTGGGCAGTGCTGTGCAGGGGAAGGAAGGCGGCCATAGCCGCACAGCTAGTAGTAGGAGGTAGAGCTGAGTGGTAGCGGATGTGTCCAGAGTCAAGATCTTCAAGGAGAGAGAGAGAGAGAGAGAGAGAGAGAGAGAGAGAGAGAGAGAGAGAGAGAGAGAGAGAGAGAGAGAGAGAGAGAGAGAGNAGAGAGAGAGAGAGAGAGAGAGAGAGAGAGAGAGAGAGAGAGAGAGAGAAGTGAGACCGAGAGGGAGAGTCGCCTACCTGGACGAGGATGCTGGATTTGGGTTGCTGAACTCTGCGCTAATGAGCGCTTGGTGACTGGAACTCTGAAACTGTTTAATAAATTAATATGATAATTCGTTGGAATTTCTAAGCTGCGCTAATCTGGACTTTGCATCTCTGGTCTCCAGTGTGGATTTTGTGTGATCTCTCAATGTGTGTACGTGCCTGAGGTGACGAACTGAGTGGTTGAATGCAATAGGATTGCTTGGAATTTGGTCTTCAACTAGGGTTGCATACCTGCCGACCGCCGACCCCGACTGTCAACCGTTTTCCAGCTGACTAGTAGGGCCGACCGGTCGGCAGTCTGCCAACCAGTCAGAAAGCAGCCATCCACTGATTTTTTTTCAAATCTGAGTTGGGGGCTGTACTGCGCTTGCTGAGTACAGCCCAAATCCGCTGAGAACCTTTCGCGGATTCGAAGCGGGGTATGGGGGGTTGGGGCACTTGAACTATGCCCCCAATGGAACGGAGGATATGGGATTTGAAGTTTGAACCCATGATACAATCTTGTTGTATGTTGATTTAGCAAATCAATGCCTTCAGCCACTCAACCATACCTCCGGGGAAAAACGGGATTTGAACCCGCGACTTCTGGCGTGACAGACCAGCCATCTGGGGGGGGTTTAAGGGTGTTGGGGGGGTCTATGGGGGTATTGGGGGCAGGTATGGGGGTGTTGGTGGGGTTATTGGGGGTTCTGGACCCAAAACGGGTTGCCGACAACCCCCGACCAGTAGGTGCCAACCGTCGGGGTACGCAACACTGCCTACGACGGTCTTTTATTGATTTTAACCATCGGTTTTGTTTATGAATGGAAGACGGGCGCTTTAGATTGGGAATGACACATATTTGGTTAATTAGCTCAGTTGGTAGAGTGCCTCCTTTACACCAAGAGAGTCAGCGGTTCAAGTCCATATGCAGAAATAGAGTAGTTGGTTAGAGTGCTGTTCTGTCACGCCAGAAGTCACGGGTTCATTACCCAAGCCCGTAAAGTTGTGGGATGGCCTGAGCAGAAAAGTGACGCTCTGGGCAATATTATGGATTGAGGCAGCATGACTTGCGCTGGAGCACAAAACATAAGGGAGGCGGTGTGGTCAGCAACGAGGAGGTTAATAGAGAGAGAACAGATGCAAATGGCGTCACCCTGAAGCAGCATCACAGCACATGAGAAGAATTGTCGAAGAATTCGCTAATCAATGGGAAGGCATCAAACCCCGAGGGGCATAACTCTGGCGTATGTGATCAGATCGCACAGCGATCAACAGCACGAAGAGCAGAATGCAGTCTGGGTGTGACTAGGTTGAGGCAACTGGCCGGTTACAACAGTGAGCATACGAGGGATTGACACTCGGGACCACATACATGTGGTCTGAGCGGAATACGAGTAGGAAACAGCCGCCTCGACATCACTCCTTTTAGAGGGGGGCAATAAATGTTGCTCAGAGGTTTGTTCAGTCTTTTATGGAAGGAAGTATCAATGTATCTTGTGTTGTAAATCTGTGCCTTGCCGGCAGAAAAGGAACCAAACCGACTGTCACCAGAATAAAAAGGAGCCAGGGCCATAAGGCCCGTGTCTTTTTTTTTTCTTTTTTTTTTTTAAGGCCCTGTCTACTTGGAAGAAAAAGACCTTTCACATGCAAGACACCCAGAACAGGGGAGGGTTGCAAGATAATTACTGCCAAGGGGGACAGGATTGAGTGTTCATGGGGGTCACACCTGTCTCTTATACACATCTAGATGTGTATAAGAGACAGGGAAAAAGACCTTTCACATGCAAGACACCCAGAACAGGGGAGGGTTGCAAGATAATTACTGCCAAGGGGGACAGGATTGAGTGTTCATGGGGGTCACAC